ACCCAAGACATTCCCAACTTCAATGTTTCTTCCAACTTTGGTTGAGCTTGTCTTTCATTTGACATATAAATAACCCTCTCTGTCTCTGCGTCTGTCTCATTGGATTAACCCTCATTTCAATTGTTCTTGAATCAGTCTGTTTTCACTTTATCTTTCACTCCTGCCCTCTCTTCCCTCTCCAAATTATTGCTTTGCAGCATCATTTCCTCTAGGCAGTTTTCATGGAGGTATTATTCCTTTAACTTTTAATCTCATAGATTGTTACATGGTTTACTTAAAAATTATCTCCCATTTCTGCATCTTTGGCCATTAACAATTGAGCAAAAAATTATAGAAAATTGGGTATTTTATAGTTTAAATTAAAGTATTATAAAGCTGTTTTATTAAATTAATAAATGAAAGCATGTATGCAAGAATAACTCTACTAGTCAGGATTTAGCGAGGAGTGATTTTAATAAATGAAAGCGTGTATGCTCAATCAACAAACTGACAGGAATTAAGAGGGTATCACCATGGTCTGATTAATTGGGCAATAATATTAGTTTCATGTATGCAATTAATTAACACCAGCTAGTCAAATCATTCTTAAAAACTGCAGACAATTCTGTTCAATTATATTCAATCACTGTTTTACTTTGCAGATTGTTGAGTTAAAAGTGGAGATGGTTTGTGTACATGAGAAAAGACTGAGGAAATGCCTCTCAAAATTAAGAGGTTCGTTTGATTGATACAGATATTGCTGATATCTAATCACTGCCACAATAATTCTTAGTAGTTGTATTAATATATGGTACTACTGTCTGTGGATCCACATGCAGGGATAGAGAAGGTGGAAGTGGATACTAACTGCCAGAAGGTTGTAGTCACTGGATACACACATAAGAACAAAATCCTGAAAGCAGTTAGGAGAGGAGGTCTCAAGGCTGATTTCTGGTCTGCACAGAATGAATTGCTTAATGCTTATGTCAGTGCCAATTATGCCAGCTTGAGATTCAACCCCTTCAACTTTTTCTAGTTTTTCTCATCCCCAACCCCACCTAATTTAACATTTTCTTTTTTCTTTTTGGGGCTTTCTCTTTGGGGTTTTTGTATCTTCTGTCCTGTATGGGATGATAGATATATACAGTAGCATAGTATTTTATTTTTCTCATTTCCATAGAAATCATGACCAATCACAATGTTCAACTCAGAATGCAATAGAGACATATCCAGCTAAACTTTGAGGCATCAAGTCTTCCTACAAATTTCAAACTCATGCTTTTTTGGTCTTCATGAAATTTCAAATTCCTTCAAAGACAAATTGAATTTCAATAAGAAATTACAGACTCAAACTACAGTCTCACAACAACCCAACACGAAAATAACAGACCAATTAAAATCCATGTACATCATAACATAGTAAAATATTGAGTAAATAGCCTTTTTGGTCCTCAGCAAATTTCATGATGATCGCTTTAGTCCCTAGCAAATAAAAATGCTATTCGTGGTCTCTAAGAAATTCAAAATGAACCCATTTAGTTGAAATCGTGGTCTCTCACAAATTCAAAAAAGACTTATATTAGTCCCTCAAAAGGACTAAAATAGGTCCACTTTGAATTTTTTAAAGACCACGAATAGCCTTTTTATTTGTTAGGGACTAAAGCTGATAAAGACCGAAAATGATATTTACTCTGAAATATTTATCTTCCTTTTTTCAAGATTGATCATGGATCCCCTCCAGCCTAGAAACCACTACCATAAACCCCTGCCCTCTCTAACTTATAATTCTGCATTTCTCAAGTTTAGACTTTATAAGACCTATATCTGGATTTAAACCATTCAGACCTACAAACAAGAAGCAAAAAGACCAATACATCCAACGTGTAGACTAATGTGTATTTTACTTTGGAATTAATGTTTCTTATATTATAACACGCATAAAATTATGTGGAGCTTATATATTTTTTTTTTTCTCTCTTCTCTTCACATGGCTTATATGAGACCCATATATTTTTATATACGTGTAAAAGATAAAATTATCCCTTAGAAACACAAATCCGATTTACATAAATCACATGCTTTTCATGTATTTTCTAATGACTATTATTAGTCCAATTGGCGAATAATTCGATTATGAGATACAATATTCAAACTCAACAACTGAGCTGAGGTTTCTATCAGGCCAAACTTTTCAACCCTACACAGTACGCATATGCAAACTTCAGTAACTGTACTATATCGGAAGAGTTTTTTTAGCGCAGCAGAGGGAGATAATTCCTTTACAGAATTTCAAGTTTTAAACCAGACTAGTTGCTTGGGGAAATGCGATTATGTTAAACAAAAAATAGAAGAAACAATAAGATCAAATATATCTAAAAGAAAAAGAAATAGCTCGAGGACAAAAAATAGAAGAAAAAAACATGTATCCTAGAAATTTACAATAATGACAAAAAAGACTAAAATAAAAAATAAAAAAATAAGACAAAAAAAAAATCAGTGTTGTCAGTTTATTTGATTTTATTTTTTCTCATATTTTTTTATTCTTAATGTATTTTCTTCTTCTTTTTTTGTTTTGGTAGACGTATTTTCTTCTTTTTAATTGGATGTGTTTGGTATTTTTTTCCTTCTATTTTCATTTTTTTTTTGCTTTCAGTCTTTTCTAACATTGTTAAAAGAAATTGAAAAAAATTAGCATTAAAATTTTTCGACATATTTAATCTTATTTTTTATTATATTTCTCTTTTTTACTTTTAGTCTTTTTTTTATTGCTGTTGTAAATTTTCAATATATCTATTCTTAATTTTCTAATTCTTTTTTGTCTCCTTAATTTGATATAAACATATTTAATTTGTTTTCTTCTATTTTCCTTTTTTTATTTCTTTTTTTTTATTTTCCAAGATATCCTCCGGTCGATAATTCTTTCGAGACGAAAGATCACATTAAGTGAATAAACATCTCCTAACAAAACATTCTCCATACACACAGTCAAAAATCGAATCCTTGTCAACATGCTTAAGAAACCCAGATCTACCAACTGTGCTGAACTTTTTTAATTTCTAATCTTTTTATGTAAGTTTAACATATTTATCTTATTTCTTCTTCTTTTTTTATTTTTTTATCCGGAGTCTATTCTTTTATTTTAAAAAGAATAAAACAGGCAAATTAATTTAATTTCAAAAGGGGTTAATAATGAATTTAAATATAAAAAAAATCATAAAAGGGAAGCAGTGTTTAAACAAAAAAAAGGCATAAAGTTATAAACAAGGGAGTTTTTAAATTTTTCCCTAACAACAAAATAAATGTTCAAACTACGCATTTTTCCCCCCGATTTAAAGTAGAGAGCATCATCGAGCCATCATCCAACTCGGTCCGATCCATTTGACCACCGCCAGGCCTAGTCGTATAACGTATAGCAAGAAAAGGTTGCAATATGTAAACACGATGTTTCATAACCATCGGCCATAGCTTATATCATCTTCAAATAGAATTAAGACTTCAACCGTAGCCATTCACTCTCTTTAGCTCATACCTACTAGAGGTCATCCTTGTAAAGCCAAAGTTGTTGAACACTATCTATGCTATTACCACAACCCCCAACAGAGTTAAAATAACTCCTTTCCAGTGCAAGTACCACATCCCTATATCAGTACTACACCAAACCGTAAAATAGATTGATAACACAGTACTAAATTTCATTCGGCTCCCCCGATATCTTTCAAAATTCCGATTCTTTTAATTCTCTATACCGAAGACAAGGAGAAATATATAAAGAGAACGGCACCTCATGCACCTAAGGACACTGGAGGAAAAAAAATAACTACAGAAAGTATTCGTATGGCTAAAACTGAAAGAATATAATAACATTATCACAAAGCAAAATCCTAACGGAATGTACAAGTTTACTCTTCTTGGATTCCGAGTACATTTATTAATTAAGCATACATTAGCAGCCAGCATCTCTCATTCACTCCTTTTTTGACACACAGCAAGCCGCAGCTCTCAAGCAAGAAATGGCCAACTCTAATAAATCGAAATGATTGAGCAACTACCTAAGAGAACATGAAATTTAGAAGAACTACATCTCTAAAAAGGCATTGGTTATGACTTAATTTCAGTTGCATCACAGTAACCACACTACAATAGTGATCACAATGTTAAAGCAACAAACCACGAGCAATGAAGATATAAACCTTCTTATGCCATAAAAATGAATGAATGAATAACTTAAATTGAAACTAGAAAAACGAATTATTAGCTTAATAATAAAAAAGAACTCTGTCAGGTGTGGCTTTGGAATCAACAGAAACCAGCAGCACAGCTAGACAGCCATCATCAGTACCAATGCTAATACCATTGCCAATCAGACCCCAGCAAAAAGGGCAGCAACAATCAGGCACAGTAATTGGTTAGTTCTTCAAATTATTCACGAACACACGCATTTCATACAAAAGATGCCTCAGCTACCACCTCACAGCTACAGTCATGGAGCTGTACGCTTCAACAAGCATATCTCACTACATTAAGTAGCAGAGGTTATAATCTTGAAAAGTCAATGTTAAATAAGTATCCAGTAAAATACCCCAAAAAAAGTAGCCATGAATATGTTACCATTGTCGCCTTCAATGTAATTCGAAAAAATACACCAGCAAATTAGGGTTCATATTTAGTACCCACAGTTTATGTTTATCATCTGCATCTGAATCAACAAATGACAGGTCCAACTCCTATGAGGCATCAGCTACGTATCAAAATACTTTCTACTTGCTTCGATCACAGCATCAAGAATCCCTTTCAGGACAATTTTTTTATTAAGACCAAACACGGTTACCACATCAAAGATCAGAATTCTCTCTGGTCATGAGGGATTTCAGAAGAAATAAGAAAGTAAACCAAAAAGCTTACCAATAATCAGATCATTCAGGTTAAAACCAAGTCAACTAATTGTCTGTCTAACCAGCACACTGGTAAAACAATCACAGTCCTAAAACCAGCATACTCTTGCAACCAGCATCAAATTCACGACCAATCATCAATGATATAGAAACAGCATCAACAGCAACAATGTCAACATGCACCTATCACGCCCCCATCACTTTTCCCGATCATAACTATAAAACCCAATAAGTTGTTCATCATAAATTAACGGAGCTTAAAATAGATAACAACCATTCCTTTGAATAGAGTGAAAAATAAAAATGGAGAAATGAAGAGAGATAAAATGCAAACAGTAAATTGAAACTAAAATAGCAAAATCCCTCAGACTGAAATATTAACCTATCAACTAAAAGGTCCCATAGTTACCACATACTAAAGTGGAGGACATAATTAAGTCAAATTATAGAAACATCCAAATACCAAGGAAGTCTGACCCTACCAAACAGCACTTAGATCATAAAATCCTTCAACGACTCTGATAAGCATAAGACCATTCACATTGACCAACAGATTCAACAATATCAAAACAGCAACATGTTGCACTAGACAACGTGTCTCCAGAATTTTTCATGAAAACAGCTTATTCCTGCAAAAGAGAATAGAATTGAAAAGTCACAAAAAGTAGAATAATTACCTTGCTGACTAAAAAGTAGGCAATTCTTTCACAGCAAAGTGAAGATGAAGATAACTTACATCACCATTAGAATTTCGGGGGGATGGGCTTCGCGAAGGATCAGGATGACCACGTGGTGAGACACTGCGTGGTGTAGGAGACCGTCCATCACGGCTACGATTATCGGGACTTTCACCCCGGGGACTTTTCCTAGGGGAAGGACTCCTTCTAGGGGAAATACTCCTCTGAGGGGACAGGCTCCTTCGAGGACTAGGACTGTGTCGTGCAGGGGAGCGGCTGTGGGGAATAACAATGATGAAGTTAAAAAATAAAAAATCTTAATGGTAAAAAATCACAGTAGAAAGAGCTAAGTATCTATGAATGAAGACCTATCCACTGATCTGCTCCTGCTTCTACTATGACGCTCATCGTCATAGTGTCCCCTTCCACGACCCTTGTAACCAGGACTGGCACTACGGCTCCTGCTTCGACGGCGATAATCTCTGTCTCTCCCACGGTACTTGTCACGTTCGTACCTATCATAACTTCTGCTGCGACTTCTCCTCCTATGATCCCTGTCTCTGTAGTCATCACGATGCCTGCAAATAATTGAGCACTAATCAATACAAATATCAAGCAAACAAATGAATGCCAGGCTATTAGAAATGCATTTTAGTTACCACAAGCAATTTTTAAAATGAACAAATAAGATCCTCTTGAACAAATTCCCACAGGATAATTTAAGCCATCTACAGTCTATTACAATGGCAAGAAATGGTAGTGAAGTAAAAAGACACTTGCAAAGGCTGGTCCAAAGTCAACAAAAGAAAAAGAACAATTTCTTCCATTAAAAAATAGGAAATTGGAATAATAAAAAATAGGGGAAACTATTTCTGTAGTTGTGGCAGAAATTGTTTCCCTGCCACAGACACAAAAAACAGAGTGAGCTTCATCACTTTTTCTCTCTCATTTCTTTATAGTTTTTCTCTCTCATTTCTTTATAGTTTTTTTCTCTCTCTCTCTCATTTTTGTGTCTGTGGCAGGGAAATTATTTCTGCCACAACTGCATAAATAGTTTCCCAAATGAAATATACTGAAAGTCCAGTGCCACACTGCAGCCATCCTAGTTTACGCTATGAGATTTTTCCAATTAGACAAGTTAATGTGCTTAAATCAGAAAAGGAACATTAACCACTCATTCAGGTGTAAAATATGATTGCATGAAGAAGAGCTTAATATAACATGATATAAATGTATTCGATGTAGCAATGAAGATTCCAAAGATGGTTTCAGGTATAAAATTTGTCCATCCATCAGAACATAAAAACAAAAGCTAAAAAATCAAATGTAATTGAAACATCACATTCAACTTATCTTGTAGTTTCAGCAAGAAAAAAAAAAATCTATGGTGGTAGTTCCCATGTTCTGTAGACAAAATACCAGCAACTAAAACACCAACGTCCCTCCGACCCTCTAGAAGAAAAAAAAAAGGAAATTAAAATGCAGCACACACCTTTTCTTGGGACTGCGGCTCCTTGACCTGCCCTTCGACCTCGGGGATGTTTCAATAATCCTTCCTTTGTGACTATAAATTAAAGAAAATAAACTTAGCAACAAACGAATACATAAAAAAATTAAAGGCAAAGCCATGAGAAACACAGGTCAGTCATGCATGAAAAAGAAAGTTATTATATTGAAACAAATTCCATTCAAGAAAGTTGGTCAATTTTATTCTATTAAGTAATAAAAGCAGAGATAAAGAAACCAATGTAAATATTAGAATTTAACATGACAACAATATTAGAACATAAAAGAAAAAGAAAAAGAAAAAGAAAAAAAAGTTAAAACTTACATCCTCTCAGCATTAGGCCCATATTTTGCAAACTGGACAGTTATTTCACGACCATCAACCATTCTTCCTGAAAAAAAATAATTTTGTATATTTAAAAGAAAATATTTTATCAAATTAAAGTAACAGAAAAGCTTGACGTAACAATGAAGCATACCGTCGAGCCTATCGACGGCCTTTTGAGCCTCATCAGCATACTTGTACCGCACAAACGCAAAGCCCCTCGATTCACCAGTCCTTCACCAAAAAAAATTGTAAAATTAATTAATCAAGTAATCAATTGGTTAATAAAGGGAGAAAATTGTAAAATTGTAAATTGAAAGTACCTTCGATCTTTGGGAATGAAGATGTCGACGACCTTACCGTACTTGTCAAAAAGAGGGAATAGGTCGTCGGCAGTTGTACCTTAACACAAACAACAACAAGATCCAGTGTTGGGTTATAGCGAAGAACAATAATTGACAAACAGAGAGAGAGAGAAACAAGATTGAGCTTACGGAATGTGATGTTGAGTACGAGGAGAGAGTAGGTATCGGAGATGTCTGGGGGACCGGACCTTCCAAAGTGAGACATGGTGGTTTGCAGTTCAAAGAAAGCACAAGCAGAGAGAGAAGATAAGAGAAGGGTGAAAAACTGAGATTAGGGATTAGGGTTTGGGTTTGTGGTGTGAAATGTTGGCTGCAGAACCTTCTTGAATTCTATTTTTTCTTCAGCCTTATTTATACCCACATACAACCATTTTTTTTTCTTTTTTAAATGTTTTAAAAAAATAAAATAAATATGCCCGTGCGTTAATTTTTTGAATAAATCGAAATTTCATTTTGAAAGTTTCTTTCCATAATCTATTTATTAATATACTAAGGGGGGAGTGTTTGGTAAAAGAAAAAAAAATTTGTACCCAAAAATCATGATTTATGAGAATATGGTGAAAAAATAAGTTTTTTAATAATATTATTAAAAAATTATTTAGTAAACTAAAATATTATCTGAAATATTGGCTTAAGATTACTAAGTTTATGTTTGATTGATTGACAAATATTAATGGAATCTGAATTGAATTTGCAAAATTAACATTTCATCATTTTTGTATGGGAAAAATGTTTCTGCAGTTAATGCAGATAAGTTATCTGTATTTATTATCAAAACGACATAGTTTTGGTATTAAAATATTAAAAAATAATAAATATAAAAACTATTATAACACTGAAATAAATTAAAATTACAAAAATACCATGATTTCTGCTCAAAACGACATCGTATTGGGCTTACTGCAGATAACTGCAGAAAAAGCGAACCCAATTTGTATTTCATCATTTTCCCTCACTTCTCTCTCTGAGCATAGTCCAAGGTGGTGAATTTCGCTTCCACTGCATCTTTATTAACATCAAGCTTAGTGATCTATCAATTATTCCATTAGTATTCTTACTTTCAACAAGCTCTTTCAACCCTACTCAAATGTTGTTGTTTCTTTCTCCCTCTCCCTCTCTTTCATTGATATGATCTAGGTTTTGCTTATTTATTCATATGATTTTGTCTTTCTGAAGAATAATTAATGACTATGTGATCGATTTTCAAAGTAAGAGCAAATCGATTTTCAGAAAAGCCATATGTTGTCTCTGTGTTCATATTGATTTCGTCTTTCAACCATACCCAGAAGTTGTTGTTTCAGAGTAAGAGCAAATCGATTTTTAGAAAAGCAAAACAAGATTTGAGTCTAGATGAGCAAATCAACGAGCAGAGCTCAATGAGAAAATCGATGAGCAGAAGCTTCCGTGAGCTATTCAATTTTCTAAGTCACAAAAAGCAAGATATTTTACACGGGGATTTTTGTCTGAAAAAATAGTAAATATTTTCCTACATGGTGGGATTCTTAAAATACCACATGTGGGATGGAATTTTGGATTGGAAATTTGGTGTGTATTTTAAAATCTTGGGATTAAAATTTTCCCAGGAAAAATTTTGTATTTCCTTGTACCAAACGTGAAAAAATAACATTTCCAATTCCACTATCCTAGGAATCCAAAATATTCCCACATACCAAATAGCCCCTAAAATAATAAATAACATTAGAAACTTTGATGATGTGTCACTCTCTCCTCCAATTTCACCATTGTGTTCATACTTGAAATTTTTTGAAATGTTTCTTCTTTTGGTAATTTTTAAAATTGAAAATTAAAAATTCATTGGTGGAAAAAAAGAGGATCCTTATCTTTATGGGTCCAGTTGAATTAAAGTTCCACTACTTTATGCATAAGTAATTGTTATGTGCATTTATAATTAATATTTAATATTTAAATGTAAATTTAATACGCTGCACTTATAAATGAGTTCAAAAAATATGGTTCATTTGGGGATCAACTTCTGAACGAAGGAAAGCTCACCTGGTTTCTTGGGAGACGGTCTGTTTGCCGAAGAATGTAAGGGGCTTGGTTTTCGTAAAATTAAAGAGAATAATATGACTTTTATCATGAAGCTAGGTCACCGTATCATGACTGATCGTAATTCGTTATGGGTTCGGGTCCTTCGTAGCAAGTATAAGGTGGAGGAAAGGCTCATTCCAAGTATCTCGGCTTCAGCAAATGATTCTGGTTTATGGAAGGCTATTGTTAAGTATTGGCCTCAAACTCTAGAGAATTCTCGTATCATTTTAGGGGATGAGGTTCATACGTCTTTTTGGATGGATTCGTGGGTGCCAGGATGTCCTCAACTTGTTTCTCTAGCCGTTCAACCTACTCCTCCTATTATGACTCATTGGTCTACGTCTCAATTTGTAACTTGTTATGGTAATTGGGACTGGCCTTTATTCCATCACCTTCTTCCTACTTCAGTATTAGACAAGATTCGTAGTGTGCTCCCTCCTACAGTGGATCCTTCTTCGAACCGTGTTATTTGGGCAGGTAGCCAAGATGAGGTTTTTTCAGTGAAATCAGCTTATAACTATCTCATGGGTACCTTGCATTATCATCAAGATAGGATTTGGAAGGTAATTTGGGCTTGGCCTGGTCCTGAATGTATTAGACAATTCTTATGGCTTCTCTACAAAGGTTCTCTTTTAACTAATGTTCGTAGAGTGCATCGTCACATGGCTACGGATGCAGCGTGTCTGAGATGTCATTATAATCTTGAGGATAGTTTACATGCCATTAGAGATTGTCCTGGTGCCAGAGAATTATGGGAGCATTGGGTTCCTTCTGATAACCGTAGTGACTTTTTCTCCATGGATCTTCACCTATGGATTCAGACAAATCTAGGATTAAAAGGTCCGTTTCAAACTGATCGAACTTGGCCTTTGTATTTTGGGGTGATAGCTTGGTGTTTGTGGGGGGAAAGAAATAAGGCGATCTTTGATCAAACTAGCACCTCGAAGTATGGTCTGATTAGGCGCATTACCTACACTTGTGGTAATATTCAATTGGCTAATGAAACCCTTATTAAGATTGGTCATCAGGAGCTTAGAAGAAAGAAACGTCTTATTCACTGGAATTTTCCCTCTGAGGGTTATGTTAAACTTAATGTGGATGGTTCCAGCATAGACAGTGGGCAAAGAATTGCATGTGGTGGAGTCATAAGGGATGCTGTTGGGAACTGGTTAACTGGTTTTACAAAATTCCTTGGGAGTAGTACATCTACTTCAGCGGAAATTTGGGGGTTCTTGACAGGTATGGATCTGGCTTGGCATAAGGGATTTAGGAGAGTCTTTGTGGAGGGTGACTCCAAGGTGGCTTTGGAATTTATAAGAAAAGGGTGTGACGTAAGTCATCCTCTTTCTGCTTTAATCATCCGAGCTCGTAGCATGCTTCAAAGAGATTGGATTATTCAACTTAGTCATACTTATAGAGAAGGCAATTTTGTTGTTGATTGGCTTGCTACTCATGCACCTCATCAGGATGGACAGCTAATTGTGCTGGATGTCCCTCCAACGGCTTGTTTGGAATTGCTTCGTAATGACTTGAGGGGAGTTAGTCTCCCAAGATTGTGCCCAGTATAGGGCTTTTTTGATGTTGCTTTAGTTTTCATTGTATTTCCAAAAAAAAAAGAATATGGTCCATTTTGGAAGGTGTGTATATATATCATGTGTTACTTGGTTCTTTCCTTTGGTCATCACCTTTTGTGCTTCTTCACCTCCTCATCCTGTTCTTCTGTGTTATCTGTTGCATCTTCATCTTCTCAGCCTGTTTTGGTACCTTATTCAATATACCGATCGTTATGTAGGAACAGTGACCAATTTGCCACTGTTCATCATAAAATTTACCAGAATGCCATGCGCACAGTAAAAATTCCCAAACTACCGCAGGCTAATTCGCTAGACAGTGTAGCGAATTAGGCCTGATGATGTGTCACGTCCTCACTGGTCCACGTATTTCGCTACACAGAGTAGCGAAATACGTGGTCAAAAGGTCAGCCTGGTCAGTCACCTTTTGGACTCATGTCAAGCCACCCATATTTCGCTACACTGTGTAGCGAAATACGTGGCAACGGTCACCTGCTGCCCTGCGCATGTCAGACACGTGGCAGGTTGGCACTAATTCGCTACCTTGGGTAGCCAATTAGGTGCAAATTTTTTCCTATATAAACCCACAGTCCCCACCCCTCTCCCCATCATTTCCTCTCATCCTCTCCCTGACTCCCTCTCTCTCTAAGTGCATTCTCTCTCTACAAGGTTAGTAATTTGTTTTATTGCTTTTATAATATGTTTGTTTCATTAATTATGTTTTTTTATAAATAGGTTATATTATCTTATATTTATACTTTAAACAATAGGTTAGTAAATATGTTATATTATTTAGTGTTTAGGCTTGAAACTTTAGGTTAGTAAATATGTTATATTATTTAGTGTTTAGGCTTGAAACTTTAGGTTAGTAAATATGTTATAGTATTTAGTGTTGATACTTGAAACTTTAGGTTAGTGAATGTGGTATATTATTTAATGTTGACATTTCCAACCTTAGACTAGTAAATGTGATAATTTTAAATCATGCATAAATGATTAGGTATAATCTATTTAATTTATTATTTAAGCTTTAATACATGTGTAATGTTATTTAATTTTGGTTTTTGATACCTTAGGCTAGTAAAATGTGTTAATGAATTCCATGCTATAATGCTTAGGCTAATATAAATAAATTTTTTTATTTATGCTGTAATATTTTGTGAATATTATTTAATGTTGGTATTTGAAACGTTAGGTTAATAAATGTGTAAATTTATTTTACGCATGAATGAATGATTAGGTCTACATAATTAAAAATTTTGCACAAAATATATAAACGTTAATAATTTCTAAATTTAGATTTTGGGTTTAGGGTTTTAAAACCTTAGGCTAGTAAAATGTGTTAATATTATTTAATGTTGGTATTTGAGCCATTAGGTTAATAAATGTGTTAATTTATTTTACGCATAAATGAATGGTTAGGTCTACATAATTAAATTTTTTAATTAATTTATAAACATTAATAATTTAGAAATATTGTTTAATTCTTAAAATTTTGAAACCTTAGGTTGGAAATTATGTGAATCTATTAAGTTATAAAATCGTAGGTTTAATTAATTTAATTTATTATTTATGTTTTAATACTTATTTCATTGTTAGTTACTGTTGATCTTAGACACGATAGGTTATCAATTTATTTTAATTTAGTTAAAGCAGTAACTTAAATGGAGAAAAACCTTTGAATTGTG